CATAAAGAAATGGTCCTACTGGGTTTCTAGATAATGCATCAGCGTTGGTATTGAGTCTTCCTGGTTTGTATTTAAAAGTGTATTCATAATCGGTAAATTTAAACATCCAGCACATCAAACGCTGACCTAGGTCTTTTCTTGTATGCATCCAATTCAATGGCTCATGATCGGCTACGAGAACGAATTTATTTCCTAATAAATACAAACAAAAGTGATGCAATGCATAAAGTGTGGCTAGACATTCCTTTTCAGTTGTGGAATAATTTACTTCGGCTTTATTTAAAGTTCTTGAAAGGTAAGTGACAGGATGGTCAAACCCATCTTATTCTTGACTCAATACCTCTCTAATTGCTTAGTCAGATGCATCTGTTGTTAACTTGAATGATTTACTAAGGTCGGGAAATTGTAAAATAGGGGCTTGGCATAGGTGATATTTTAGTATTTTAAAACTCTTTTCCTGCACTTCAGTCCATTGGAATTTCTTTTCCTTTTTTAATAAATCTGATAATGATTTAGCTATTTTTGAAAAATCTTTAATAAAGCGTCTATAGTATCCTGCTAGTCCTAAAAATTGTCTAATATTTTTTTGTAGTTTTTGGTTAGGAAAATTCTCTATCGGCTTGTATCTTTTAAGGGTCTGGTTCAATCCCTCGTTGAGTCACTATATGCCCAATAAATATTGCTTCTGATCGCAAAAATTCAACTTTATCTGGTTGAAGTACCATGTTCGATGATCTTAACCGATCGAAAAGTAACCTAACTTTACGCTCGTGGTCTACTAGATCTTTTGCGTAAATAATAATATTATCTAAATACACTAGGATTTCAACATTTAATAAGCCTCTCAATATGAGATCCATTAGTCATTAGAAATTATACTTATTATGTTCATCCTTAGGAATTTGTTGGAATCCACTCGCCAAATCGAAAACTGAAAAATATACGGCTCCTCCCAACTGGTCCATAGTATCTGCGATATTAGGCAATGAATATGCATCACCAATGGTCTTTTTATTTATTTCTCGGAAATCAATTACTACCCTCTATCTTGGGTTTCCCTGGCTACCAGATTTTTTAGGGACAATCCAAAGAGGTAAATTATACGGTAATAACGAAGGTTCCATTATTCCATCGTTAAGTTTTTTTGCTACGTGTTTCTCTAAAACTTTTCTATGTACTAGTGGGTGACGGTATTGTTTAGTGTTGATAGGGATGTTATTTTTTGTCGGCATTTTGTGTGCGACGAGGTTAGTACAAGGTACAGTGTCTCCTGGTAACAAGAAGATTTCTGAGAATTCAGAAATCAATTGAAATGTTTGGTCTCGTTCTTTCAATTTTAAATGACCGGTGCGCACGAGTCCTTTTAGGTCGTTTATTCTATCTCGTTTATTTTTAACAATTGGTCTCTCATGTTCGCTGCTAGTATCGGGATAAAATTTAGGTGCAATGTATTCGAAAGGTAGGATTTCTCTTAGGTCTATTTCAATCGTAATATTATCCTTATTAGTATTTATTGCCATAATTTTACATTGACCATTCTTATTTTTTACGATTCGTTCTCCTAAATATATGTTATTACACCCTACATCTATTTGTGGTAAGTATCGTTCAGTTAAATTAGTATTGATTAAATTTATTCTTACTATTTGACGTGTTCGAGCCTTAATCGTATATTTAGTTGCTTTACTGGTATTTTTTTGTTCCTCATGAGAGCAATGTTCTACACTAGGAGTATTTTTATTATGTTTAATGGCATTGGGTTGGTCGACTTATTTTATTATTTTCACTGCATATCCCACATTTATCAGTTTTATTATCAGTGGCCTTCATAAGATTTTCACCTCTTTCTGATAAGATCAATTTGTCAAACTCATCTCGAAAATGGAAATCAGCTTTTATGTCTCCAAATTTTTCGTATTCAGGTGTATTTGAACTTTTAGGTGGGCCTACGATGTATTCGTCATAAAATTTCTGTTGGTAAATTTTATCCTTAAGGCATTCTGTCTCTTCGTTGACATTAAGGGTTGTAGCTAGAATTTGATTTTCCTGTGATTGTTTTTTGAGTTTTATGATTTTTTTGTTCTTTTTCATCTCTTTCCAATTGCTCTATTTCCGCGAAAGTTTTTAAAAAAAGAATGGGGTTCATTACGTTATTATCCAGTACTATAGCATCATGATAACATGATAATGCGGCTTGTCATTCCTTACAAAAGTTTCGACCCAATAAACCGCCATCTTTGATCGATAAATCGTTAGGAATCACATGAAAAATTGTGGGTTTTCCTTGTATAGTCATATACGTTGTATTTTAAGTTAAAAGTTGGTGAGGTGTGATTCCAGTAAGGTTAATAATTTAACTAGTCTCTACTCGTGAATATGGGTGCAACTAATCAATTTAATCAGATTTGTGGCGGTGCCATTAACGAGCTTGAGTGTTATAAAGTGATTTTTTCCTTCTGGGATTGATAACCTTATGCTTGTAGGCTCGTCGTCTACGCCAAGTCCCTGGCAGGTACCAATGTGGACGGTTTCAATTCTGTTGCTATTTTCATTACCTGCGCTGAAACATTCAGTGTAGGAGTTGAATTCTGTCTTTGGGGGCTCACCTCCCAACGACGATGGGGGTGAGCCGCCTGAGAGTTTAAATGATGCGGCAAACGGTGGCCTCCTGGTTGGTATTGATTTTGAAAGTTCTGATTTTGATAGTTATGATTAAAATTTTGTTGATTATAACTATTATAATTATTATTTCAGGAATACCTATTGTAATTCTGACCTCTCCCTCGGTATCCTTGATTATTACCAGGATTAAAATTAGCATTCCTTTAAGTGTAATAATCATTAGGATTTTCGTTATTATATCGTCCGAAATTATTCTGATAATAATTAGAGTTTCTCGATTGATTTTGAAAATTCCAATTTCTTCCCTGATTCTGATAATTTTTACAGTAATTCTGTCCATTATTTTGTTGTTGATATTGTCTATTATAATTTTGATAATCATTACACTGCCTATCAGCGTGATTATTCTCATTGTCGATCTGTTGTTCATTAACTTGTGCCACTTGATGTGATGAGAATGGCTGATCGGGATACCTATTCTGCTGTTGATATGAGTTGTTTAAATTATTTCTAAAGTCACTACGAGGTAGTCCTTGATATCGCGTATCC